CTGAGCTCTGTTCCAAAGTACGAGATTCCATCATCTCCGCTCTGGTCGTGGCCCACGGTGCACCTAGCGCAGGATGTAGGGGGGTGGGATGGCCAGGAGGTGGCTTCCTGGCCTTTGAGAAGCGTCCCTCGATTTTCCCAAGCAAATCCACAGTACCAGCGCATGCATGAAGCAGATCCAGGTGGGAGGACACTGCCACCGATACAGCCGTTGCTCTTTAGGTTTGGGAGCACGTTCTGCTATGCAGCGACACGGACTGTGCCTGCTGCTCCTGCCCACGCTCAGGAGATGCCACTATAATGCACCAGCCCAAAAAGTGTCCAGTGAGACCACCTGTCCCACGGCAAAATCTGTAACTCTGCTAAGGTCGGGGGTGGGTTTCAAGACTACACATACTACCAGAGTCAGGAACATCAAATAGCCTGTCCCATACAAGAACCAGAAGGGGTTTGCCAGCCCAGGGCTGCAGAGATGGTGCCTTTTCCATTCAACACTCACAGGCTGTGACTCAAAGGGGAAGAAGCCCTAACACTCTGCTTTAAGTTCCTTGGGTCACAGCCTAACCAAGTCCCCTGAAAAGAAATGCCCTAAACTTCAAATGGCAAACCCCTTGGTACTGTCTGGTATATAGCAAAAGGTTGTTTGGAGGACAGAAGCATGGAATCATGGAGTGGTTTGGGTTAGAAGCGACCTTAAAGATCATCCCATTCCAACCCCTGGGCACTGCCAGGACTCCTACCAGAGCTTTGGCTGGAATAGCTGAGCATTAAACTGATGTAAATCCATCACTCTTCTGCTGCTGCCTTTGCTAGCTGCTTCTAGCACACTTGGTTTCAAAGGGCACCTCTTCCAAGTCAGCTGTTGACATAGGAGAAATGTTTACTGCAGTGTGGCTATTTGCCAGAGAAAGGCCATCATCTGCACCCACAGCACAACCAGTGCTGCTGGAAGGTGTGTAGCAGGTGAGTGAGATGGAGATGGTGGTGATGGGGATGAGGGCACAGGCTCTCTGGGAGAGCAAAAAGCACAAGACACCTGTGGCTAGACCATCTTATATCCCACAGGGAGCTGACACTGACCAACAAAGAGGAAACTCATACTTGAAGGAGCCTGAAAATTCATTACCGTGTACACTTGACAGAGAGAAATAAAGTCCTGAAGAGAGAAGCAGGCCTAGCAAGCACTGTGTCCTTTCAGCAGAGCTTGATGAGAGACAGAGGCCTAGTGTTTTTCAAAGTATGAAAATTGGCTCCTGACAGCAGCTGAAGAATGGGTCAGATCTGAGCCACCTACTTCAGGGTCTGGGCAGAAGGATGCACAGAGTGAAAACTGCTCACTCTCAAGAGCTCATAGCAGGCAGTGGGATCCAGGCCAGACTCTGCTTTTCTCCATCAGCTTTGTTTCAGGTCCTATCTTTGCTCATCCCTCTAGAGAGCCTCAGCCAACAAGTCCTCCCAGGGCAAAAACCTTGTAACACATCCAGCATGCTTCACACTAAATAAGGCAGCTGGCAGCACTTTGTGAGGTCTCAAAGACAGAAGTTATGGAAACGGAGGGGAAATCCAGGAAGAAAGTATGAAGAAGTGAAAGGACTAATGTCAGATACCCCTAAGGTTAACAGTTGAAAAAGGAGGCTACAAAGATAGAAACAAACTAGAGAAATAGTTATGCTCAAGGAAATCCTCCTCCCATACTGCTGTCATCTTTAGGTCAAGCTCATCTTCTCCTCAGTTTCAGTGCTCCTGGCTGGAGTGTGTATCTGGATCAGATGCTGGAAGCTTCTTTCACTTGCAGTTTGCATAAAAATAGCCTCATCCACACTGGAAATGGTTTGGACAGTGACTGGGAGCACCACTACTTCTCTGAGACAACCCTCACGGGTGCACATAGGCAAAGATGGGGTCTGTCCCAGTTCAGACCAATGCACCTTCCCACTGCCTTCCTATCTTAGAGTCAGGAACATAGCATTAGTGTCAGGGGTTGGTTATTCATATGGAGATGCTGACTTTCAGTCCTAGCCTCTGAAGCACACCTGGCTGATTATCTTATCAACCTCTACACCCCTGTGCTCAGCACTAGCCAAAGCTCAGGACAAGCTTTAGGAGCTTGCCCAGCACATCAGTTAGGGGCAAGGCTAGGATGTGGCAGAGACCCAAAGGAAGTGTTCTCCACCTCCATCCATAAAGGGATCACCACAATGACATCATGGTAACTCTCCCATCTCTTCCTCATCCCTGAAAGGAGTTCAAACTGCCATGCTTGGGCCTGAAACAAGGACCAGGTCAGGATGAGATGGTTTCCCTCTGCCTTTCCAGCTGGCAAGCCATGCCTGCCTGTCCTCTTCAGTGCATCACTAAGCTACTTCTTGCTTGACAATAGTCAGAGCTGCCTCCAAGGTTCCCAGCTTCTCTAGGGTGAATTCCCCTGGCTCACAGCTGCTAATACAGAGAATCACCAAAACTGGCTCTGGGATCAGCTCCACTATCCCACTCAGCCTGGAACGCCTGTGGCATGTTCAGCCCTGGCACATACTGCTACCCACAGTGCCCGGCTCTGCCCAGAGCCCACTGTGGCCTGACCCAGACAGAGCTACAGGAGGACAGTATACGCAAAGGTAACATTTACTGAGAGATACAGAACTGAATATTATGAAGGACATACATTGATGGAGAGGGTAGCGACACCACTGCAGAAGGCAGCTTGGACCCCCTTCCCAGCATGCCAGGAAAGGAGCTGGATGCTACCAGACAAGTAACACAATGGAGATAACTGTGGCATATGTGTTTGTAACAAACAGACCATCATAACATACATTTCTATGGGATCACATCTAGTGATTATATAAATCCATATAGAGATTGCTGTATAAAAACTTTGTAAAAAATACTTTAAAAAAGTGTAAAAATGTGCATTCAAAAGCACGGCCGACACGGACAGCTGGGCTGTAAACATTATACTGAGTGTGCTTGTGGGGGGCGCCTGCGCCACCGAGCCCCGACAGGCCTGCCCACCATACGGGGCTGCATCAAGTGTTTGTGGTTCTTGGGATTGGGTTCCCCTCTGGAGCGTGCACCAGGAGCAGCAGCAGCCTCTGCCAGGGTGCTGGTGGGCACCACACAGCTGCCACTTCTCTGCCTGCAGAGCTGCTACCCATGGGGTGCATGGTCCTTGCAGGACATATTGTGGCATCGTGGGTCCCCAGGGCTGTGAGCAGGCTGGAAGGCCATGATGAGGTATCACAGGGAGGTTGCCCTCACTGGTGCCATCAGCCCTGCTTCCAGGCTCAGCCTCAGAGTACATGTTTGGCAGGTTTCTGATCTTCTCTGTCCCCATATTTGTTTGGTCCATAGTTCCCAAGGAAGCCCATTGGGTCCTGGCTGCACCAGGCCTGGGTGCACAGTTCTTCAGACAGTACATAGAGACCCTGGAAGACCCCGCGCCACTGTCTCCTCCTCCTGGCCCAGTGCCACCTTCACTTCTTCTCTAGCTGCTCCAGCAGTGGGTTGGCTTCACTCTCGGGTGTCTTGATGCTGTCTGTCCGCACGATGCAGGTGGGACGGTGCGCATCAGGATCAGCTGCTGCCTCTCCTGTTTCAGCTCTTCTATCTGGGCCTTCAGCTCAGCATTCATGAGCTCTAGACGTTCAGACTCCTAGCAGGACAGGAACACAACTGCATGTGACTTTACTCCAGCAGGACGAGATAGAAGGAGAAACAATTTGGCCAACAAGCCACCTCTGCTCAGTGCTGCCCCTTAGCCCCTGCAGCACAGAAGCAGACTGAAGACCTGCCAAGGCACCAGGTCCCTCCAGGCAGTTCATCCCCACCCCTGCTGCCTCGTGTTACCTAGTGCCACCACAGAGAAATACACAGCCACCACCTGGGGCAGGTCTCTGCTGCACCACAGCAAAACCTCTGCTTGGCTGCTTTCCATGGTCTGGAAAGGTGCTTGGGAACAAACCCACATTTAAGTTTTCAGCCCCCTCACCTGCAAGAATCTGCCCTTCTGAATAACTCCTTGTCCTCCACTGTGCCATTTGCCCATGTCTCACCAGTCTTTGCAGAAAAGGAGCAAGGTGCTGTGAGAGGTTTTTCTGCCTTGGGGGCATGGGTGATTGGGCATCTGGCCTCTGAATGAGAAAGCCTTCAAGAATTTGGGGTAGGGGCCAGCATGCTGCCAGCCCCTTCCCCGTGCCACACTCACATGGCTGCTCCTGCTCCAGCACTGAAGCAGGGACACTATCATCCATCCCTCTCTCCCCCCAAGCTCAGAGCCCACCTTCAGTCCTGGTACAAGACTTAGGCTCTGCCTGGGCACATACATGGCCACCACCTTCACAGTCTCATGGGAACGAGGGCCTGTATTTTTCCAGATAAAGGTATGGCAGCAAGGTGAAGCAGAGGGGCAGTTCATGAAGGAATGTTGCCTGTAGCTGGGGCACCTTTCTAGAGCGGTCCCAGCTGTACCCTAGGACAGACTGAGGCACTCACCCGCTGCAGGAACTCCGTCCTCTCCTTCTTCTTGTTACGACATCGTGCTGCTGCTACTTTGTTTTTCTCCCGGCGCCTTTTCCTCCTCTCCTCTTCCTCATCCAGCTGCAGTGAGACAGAGAAGCCCACGTCAGAGTCAGCAGGTGTGTGGCAGGGCAGGAGACGGGTGAGCACTTGGCAGCCACGTGTGCCACTGGCCACCAGCAATATAATCTAATCCTCATCAGGAACCAGGTGTGCTGCTGCTACAGCCTCTAACTCCACTTTGTGGGAACACAGAGAGAGAGACCAGTACAGTACACACAGCTGAGAACCTGGCTGGTAGAGGACAGACAGCTCTGCAAGGCTGGTCCATCCCTAAGAGAGGGCAGAAACAAAGAGAATAGAACCCTTCCCCACAAAGACAGGCACAGTTTGTCACATAGACATCTGCAGGCACAGGTCTGTGAGCACAGTCATCCAAAGCATCACACACATTGTCAAGGGCAAGGGGCAGAGAAACTTGAAAGATCCCCCAGCTGGGTCTGGTTGTTTCTTTCATTCCAATACCTGTGACTATCTGCTACAGCTTCAATGCCAGCCACCACAGTAGGGTGGGGACAGGTCCTGAATCCCCTCTAAAGAAGCAAGACACAGCAGTGCCTGTGCTGTTCACCACAACTCAGATCTCTGTGCCCTCTGACTCAAACCACACAGGCCAGACCAATAAGCCCTATGGGTTGGAAACCCATAATCAAAGTATTTAGGGGTATTTGCTACAAAGCCTGTGTAAATGGCCTATGGCATGCTTACATCTGAGAACGTAAACCAGCTCCTTCAAGAAAAATCTGAGCACTGGAAAACTGTGAAGTCAGCATCCAGCTTACACTTTGTAGCATAGCTAAAGAAAAGGTTCCCAGTACCTTCATGCACATTTAGCCAGGGACTCTGAAATTTGAGATGTCAGTCTGAACTGCCTCATTCCTGTTGACTAATACCTGATGGCACACATCTCTTCAAATGATGTGGCAGCAACATTTGCTTTATGAGCACTCCCACAGCCTATATGCACCTCCACTAAGGGCATCTCCAGTCTGATAAGGCAGCTGCATCCTTCCTTATCTCCGTAAGTCAGTGTGGTTGAGGGAATCATGTCCCAGACAGCCTCTCATAGCACACACCATCTCAACAGCCTCATTGCTCCAGCACCTGGGCTTAGTCACCTCAAAAGGAAAGTCACAGATTCCCAAGGCCACAAAGTAGTGCTGGGAGTGGGAGGCCACCAGATCACCCCACATGTAGGTGCACCAGTGGAAACGGTGCTGGAAATGAAAGCTGCAGGTGCCATTGTCCATGGCAAACTGTGCACACTTACTAACATTCATCAAGTCTGAAGCTCACTAATCAAAACACCTCAATGTCATGTGCAAGGACAGGCTGAAACAAGGACTTTGCAAAGGTAAGGTGAAGAGATACCTTACGCGAGCTGGGTGTCCGATACACAGCATGTAGCACGCTTTGGAAGGCAATGCCCAAGTTTTATAGCACTAATAGGTTTTGCATTTTCTCTACCTTACTTCCCAAGCATTACACCAAAGTTGCTATTTTACCTGGGGCTAATATATTAAGTCAGCACAAAATTCCGTAATGTCAGGCTGCCACCATCCCTTTGTCAAGGCAGTGTCATGGGGCACCATGCACCACACTTGAGAACTACAATGGGAACTGCACTGATACCCCCAAGTTGAGTCAGAAATGGCCAGCTCCCCCTACAGTCACATAACTCAGATGTGACAGGTGTTAGCAGAAGGGATCAAGAAGGCTGTAACTCCACACTCTGCTGCCAGCTCTTACAAAACTTCCTCACACAGTTTAAGAGGAAGTGTACATCAGGGGAGCCATGATTCCTCTCTGCACATTTACCAACCACTCATCTATCCCAAAGACAGCTTCTTGGCCTTTCAGTTCAACGATTTTTAGGTTGCAGAGAGAGAACTTGAGCTCCAAAACTCAAGAAACACCCCCCCAAACTTTCCTGCAAAGTCCATCTTGGGTTGTAACAGGTACTGGGAGAGCGAACAGCAAGTGACCAAGCCCTGGAAACTGCCTGACATTTGCATGCCCTGTTGCTGCATTCAACAAGAATCAACAGAGTAAGTGAGCTGTCCCTGTCCCTTTCAGCTTCCCTCCACCCCACAGAGGGCCCAGCAAAGAGTTGTGTCCTTCAAATGGGGTGCAGATGCTCAAGGGGGGTGACTCGGCACACATGGCAGCAGCTTGAACTCTTGGCTCTTTTTGACCACAGCTCCTGTAACATCATACAACCATAGAATGTTTTCTATTGGAAGGGACCTTAAAGATCATCTAGTTCCAACCACCCTGCCATGGGCAGAGACATCTTCCGCTAGACCAGGTTGGTCAAAGCCCCATCTAACCTGGCCTTGAACACCTCCAGGGATGGGACATCCACAGCTTTTCTGGGCAGAGAAGTTCTCAAGAAAGCAGGTTTCCCACTCTCTGCTTCTGCTTGATTTCAGTTCAGAAAGGTGACATGGCACTGGTGCTGGAGCTTAGGACTCTACTCAGAGTCGTGAGGGACAGTGATGGTGTATCATCCTATAGCATGTTTCAGCAGTTGATATCCAGGAAATCCCTGTAGGTAAAAGGTCTGGGGCTGCCTCCTGAATTGCTTGTCAGCAGCATTAGGGACCGAGGTGGTGATCAGGCTGAGGGGCAGGGCTGTGTCCTGGAGGGAGCACCCCAGGCAGGTTTCAGCAGTGGAGAAGCCCAGCAGCACCTATTCACAGCTGCCCCAAGAGGAGGGCAACTTGCCCAGTGGGGCTGCCCAGCACCCTGCAGGGAAGCCAGCACCCAGCACCCACTGAGTGGGTTGTGTGTACACTCCCAGGCACAAACACCCCAATGCCAGGAGATGCCAGTGCCCCCAACAGAGCAAAGAAAGCTGCCCAGGCCCAAGATTGCAGGGAGCAGCCTGCCCTCCCAGGCAGCAAACAGAGCGTGGCATGCTGGTACCCAGTGTTCCCGGGCTCTGGCTCCCTGCAAGAGGAAAGCAGCTGCAGGCTGCATTGCAAAATTATGCGTGGGCAGCTTCTTGGCTACTCATGGGATAGGCAGCTACTGCTTCAGCTCCCTCAGGCTTTTGCTGCAAAGTCTTGCCAAGGGCAGCTCCATTTGCAGTCTTCAACTCCTCGGCTACACAGGCCATGCAGGGGAGGAACCAGCTGCAGGGAAGGCAGCCATGCAGGGGCTACCAGTGGATTTCCTCTTATCTTTCCTCCACGTGGTGTCTCAACAACTGGCTCAGAGGACACTCAGCACTTCCAGTACCTGCTGTGGGGCAGAACTGCCCTGTCCCTGTTACACAGAGGACAACGAGCTCAGATACCCATGCCCACCAAGCAAAACCAGCTCTTGTAGGGACAGCTCAGAGGTGCCCAAGATGCCCCAGGAAAGGAGGTGGGCTTAGGAAGACAGTATAGCCACAGATTCCCTCTTTCTTCCCCAACCCAAGCAGCAAGGCAGACATTGCAGTTCATTTGCTGCATGATACCCAGGCCAAGAGCTTGGGAGAAATTTGGCTTCAGCTGCAAATCCATGACTGCTTTGCCCATAGAGGGACCAAAGCCATTAGCATCCTTACAATGGCTTCCCACAGCATCCTAACCTCAGCTCCTGCTATTGCAGAGCTGCCCAGTCCTTCCTCAGGTGATCTCCAGGCTGCATGGGCTGTCTGGACACCCCCTTGAGCATAGAGCTCCTGGGCAAGGTGATCAAATGGACTCCATTGCACCAGTTCTCCCTACGGGAGTCCACCTCAAGGGGCTGGGGGGAAAGAACAGGCATCCTCCCCCCATAGGTCAGCCTGGCTGCTGCTGAGCCTTTGCCAATAGAGTTGGGCTAGATCGAGTGTCAGCACCATTTGGAGAGTGGGATGCTCCCCAGAACAGGTATTTTACCTTTTACCCTCTTCAGCTCACTGCTTATCACATGCACCTTTTCACATCTAGCACCTCCTCCCTGATGTCTCCAGAGAACACACATCACCCCATCCTCACATGGCATCATCCGAGGCAACCTCATGCAGGAGTAAATGCACTGTTCAGAAAGGCTGTTTATGGGACCTTTTGTCAGCAGCCACTATTCTCACCAACACGGGATCTCCAAACTGGTGGGTTCCCAGCTCCATCTGCAGTCAGTGGGAGCACAAACACTCACCACCAGTACAGCAAGAGTCAAAGACTGGATAACCAACACATGGGACAACCATACAAGGAAAACACTGTGCAAGTGTCTGCCAAGTCCCTTCAGCCTGGTTCTAACACACCAGCCTGCAGTACCAAGCAGAAACCACTCACCTTCCCCATTCCGAGAACCTCGAGGTAAAGCCAGGGCCCACCCCAAGCAGTGGGGCAGGGTCAGCCCCCAGCCAGCAACACCTGTAGCACAGGCTGAGTCACTACTGCCACTCGGCACAGCTCACCCACGTGCCTCATCCCTGCACGAAAGGCAACACCAATGCCAGAAGCATGAAGAGCTTGTTGGCACCAGTGACAGGTGATGGCTTGCATGACTTCTCCTTTGGGTGCATGCCCCAATCTGGAGACACGCTGGCTGCACCAGACCCCACTCCACAGGCAGTGTGTGAGTTTAGCTGGCTGCCAATGGCTACATGGGACCAGCCAGGTCTGGGACACTGAGGTCACCACTGCCAGACCATGCTACAGGGACAGAAATTCACGCAAGGGGAAAAGGCAGCTAGTGGAGTAGCTGTCAACACGCATGCACATCACCAAGCAGGCAGTGCGACACGCTTAGAAAACACGCTGCCAGCCACCTGGCAGGACAGCCAAGCACAGGCAGGAGAGAAACCCAGGCAGGTGCAGACAACTGCCCTCTGGCAGGGCCACCTGCAGCCCCCAACACTCACCTCACTTTTCACAGGTTGGGGTCTCTTCCCAAGCTTCACCTCCAGGAAGTGGAGCGGCGAGATCATGGCCCCGATGTTGCGGATGTCGACGCACTTGAGCTCCTCAGCAGTCAGGGCCGTGCCAGGCAGTCCTGTCAAGGGGCCGAGCCCAGGCAGCGCGCCGGCCGTCAGGGACGGGTCGGGGATCTGCCCTGGCATCATAGCAGGGCAAACAGCTTCGTAGGCTGCAGGGAGAGTGAGATGTGTCCCATTACGACCCAGCTACAGGGCCTTATGATGCAGCACAAGCCAAAAAACAATCTATAGTCTCATCACCTAAGAGGGTGCAAATCAGGGAAAGGAGGCGTTCTTCCCCAAGGATGGCAAAGACAAGGACTGAGCAGGACCTGCATGACAGAAACCAAAATATATGAATCCCACTAGAAAGAATAGGCTACGAGGGTGTAGATCAGGAAGGGAAGAGACCGGAGAGGCAAGGCACCAGAAGAACAGGAGGTGACTGCAATGACAGTGATGTGATCCCATGGACTACTGGTTTTGGCACACCTTACTCGAGTACAGAAGACCAAGGTTTGCTCTTAACAAAGTTTTGATTAAGGTGTAGATTATTAGTGCGAGAAGAAAATGGCACAAAGAGGATCATAATACACTTTAGGGTGGATTTGTTCTGGGTATGCTCAACCCACTGGTCAGGGTGCACAAAGATCAGGGATAAAACCGCAAGAGAACAACCTGCCACTGTACAAACATCTCCCAGTACATGAGGAAGCAAAGGCTGGAGAGGAGGGGAAAAGGAGCAAAGTACAAAAGGCTGCTTCTATCGCAAAAGAAAAAAGTTGTGGTGCAAGTGAGAATAGGATCAGGACAAACTTTGGCAAATCACTTATAGACAGAAGAAAGGGAGTTAAAGAAATGTGAAAAATAAGTGGCAAAGAGCTAAAGAAATAAAATTACATCTAAAATGGGAAGCCCATGGAGCTAGAGCTGTTACATCAGCCAAAAAGCAGTGAGAGCAGGTGGTTGTTGGCTGCAGCACAAGTACACCCCTGCTGTGTAACTGGCCCAGGACACTCACAAGTCACCCATTTACAACATACAGAGTCAGCTTCTGTCCACATAGCAACCACTTCCCCCCTTTCCTCAACTCAACCACATGTCCCAGCACTCGTGCACTGCTCTCCTTGCTCTGCCCAGCCAAACTAGTCCCAGCACACTCAAGGAGTCTCCACGGATCGGTGCAGGGGGCACTGACACAGCAGAAATAAGGACCACTGATATCAGGAGAGAGAAACAGACTAAAGGAGCAGAAAATGTCACTGTGCAGCTTCCTGCCACCACTAGAGCCTGTCATAGGGAAGGATTCAACAAAGAGCTAGGGAAACTCCTGGAAGCTCCGATAGCTTCAACTGCCAGACTGAGGGGGTGCATCAAATTAGGGATAACATGTACTTGCCCTGCTCTTTCCAAACCACCTGCTCTCAGCTGCTGAGAGACCAGGTAACAGGCAATGCAGATTTTTGGTCCAGGCAGTACAGTTGTGCTAAGCAGAGACACACACATTGCCAAGCCAGCTGCCACAGTTGCTCAGCACTTGCCATCCTGGGGTGACAAATCTACATCAGTTCCAGACTGAAAAGTTGCATAAAGCTGCATGTGAGATAGGACCTGCTGAATCACAGAGTCACAGAACAGTTGAGGCAGGGAGTGACCTCTGGAGATTGCCTCGTCCAGCCCCCCTGCTCAAGTGGGGTCAGTGGGAACAGGGTTAATCATGACAAGCAGAGAAGGATTTGTTGGTGTTGGCACACTCTTTACCCAGGAGATTTAGTATATTTGTTAATATGAAAAACAGAAGATGAGCAGCAGAAGAGAAGGAGAGACAAGCATACAGGTTAGTCAAGGGCAGAGAGGCTAATGCAAGCTGCAGAGCTCCCAGCATAGATGCTGTGCAAGCTGCACTAGCATGACAGACAAGGATTTGTAGCAGAGAACACCTACAAGGCGCAATGAGCTGTGACCCTGTCATACAGTCTAATCTGCCACCTAAGAGGTGCAGGTGTCAGCATGATATGTCCCCTGGCAGTTTGCACAGCAGACAGCAGCAGTGACCACTAGGACTTGAGAAAGAACACGGAAAGCAAATGCAGCAAGACTGAGACCATGAAGAGGTGGTGAGCAGGAAATCAGGCCTTCTGCTCCAGCCAGCATTTAGGAGACCAGAAAGGGGAGAGCAGGCCAGTGCTCAGCAGTGCCAGGAGCACTGCTGTGCCATGAGCACTGCTGTGGGGAGAGGAAGCTGGGCTTGGGGGATCTGCACGATGTCATTAAAGCCTGAAAAGAAGATGGAAGAGATATGAGAAAGAAGTAACTTTTGAAATTAAATGATGCTACCTGATGAAATTGGTCCCTGCCCATTTGGTGACAGAAAAGAAAAAGAAAATATTTGGTAATGACCCTTGACCTCAGCAAAGACTATTGAAAAAGACTCATTGAGATGCAAGGACCTAAACTGATCCAAAGTATTCATTCTTCCACAGCAATCTCTAAACTACACAGCTGTAATTCCACATCTACAGTGGCTGCCTTGTATGGTGTCAGGTGCCCAATGCAGCAGGGCTCTGAAGCTGCATGCTACCTTCCTCCCCTTCCCTTCAGGCCTACACACAGCTAAGATATTTCACCCCTCCAGAAACCAGCACTATCACAGATTGGGCTGCACTTCAGACAAAACAAAACAAAAAAAAACAAACAAAAAACCAAACCCACAAGTTATTTGGGGACTGTGCCTAAATCCCTACCTTCTTCCTCAGGGACTGTTCCAACCCAGCAGGAAAGCACTGGGTCACTGAGGTGGCATGGCAAAGGGGACCTGACTCCAAAGGCCCTTCCCAGGACACACGGCCACAGGACACAGCTGTATGAAGTGAAATGCAGTCTGCCATTTTGGGATAGCTGCACACACTGCAGAGCTAGCTGTTTCCCAGCCAGTGCCACCAAGGTGACACGCTGTGGCACTGGGGAAAATAACTGCCAACAGCAGCACATCCTGAGCCAGCTGCTGCACATATCTCACCAGCAGTCCCATAGATGTCCATACCCAGCTTCAACAGTTTAAGTCAAAATTAAAAAACTAAAATAATTAAAAAAAAAAATTGGTAGCTGAAGTATATGAACATCCTCTTGAAGTCTCCCTCCTGCAAATACCACATGTGAGCTGCCATGGCACAGACTGATTTGGGGCTCTGACCCACCCTTTCACAGGCTTTAGGCTGGGAATTGACTTGAGCCCAGCACTGGATGCCAAAAAACATTTTGGACTTAGGGGACATGGTTTTAATTTATTGTCTTTCATCACAACATGCAGCTGACAGCACCCAGGCTGGACAGTCCAGGTCCTCAGCCAGACTGAATTCAGAGTCACTGCAATTTATGAAAAAAGGAGCAAGGAGAAATCTGTTCCCCAGACTGTGGGACAACCTAGCCACTGAGCACCCTCCTCCCTGCACTCCTGAGCCTGGCACAGCTCCATCAGGACAACTGGCTAAAGATTTGAGAAAACACTGTGTTTTCTCTGGCACATCTTTTCCCTCTACCCTTTGATCTGGTAGCTTAATGTGCCTTGAAATAGCCTCTGTACCAGTGTGACATACAGCATAGGTCAGAGTGAAGGGGCTGGCCCAGTATCCAACATGCTCTAAAAATTTATCCTGGATCCACGGACTGCACTGCCAAAGTCCACATCACACCTGCATCAGTGTAAACTAAATCTAAAGCTGATCAAGCCAAAGTGCCAGAAGTCACCTGGAAGAACATAAACCTGCACATTAAGGTAAGCTGATAACCAGGTGGAAAAGGGGAAAAGTGACTTCTACAAGTGAGACCTTGCTCAGAGGTCAGCAAGCTCAGGAGCACATTGAAAACTGCCAATAGTCAAGCTGAGTTAGACCTTGAAAAGGTATGTAACATCATTCCCAGCAAGGCTATAACCATGAAAAGAAAGGGATGAGGAGATGCTGTCTCCCTCAGCAGAGCAGGGGTGAAGTGACAGATCATTCCACCCAGTCCTTGATGCCCCTCAGACACCATCACTCCATGCTCACTGGAAGGACTCTTGTTCCACCCCTTCGCTACTTCCTTATGTAGGCAAGGCTTTCTTTTCATCCCAAGTCCAGATACTTTAATGTTCTTTTCTGGTTAGTGCTAGAGGTAAGAAGTTGTACTTCAATCATGTAAAAAAAGCTAAGGCATGTAATTCTATTTAATGTTTCTATCTTCTTCCCCAGGCAGACATGGACATGCCTACCTATAGCTCCAGCATTATTTCTACCACATTTGCATAGTAGTGCAGAAATAACTTTGAAGTTCAAGATCCGAGTTTGACCTTTAAGTTGCAGTTTTCAATAGCCATATCTTGCTGGATGGGGTGAATACAGCTGGTATCCTGCCAATTCCTAATTCCTTTCTGGATATTCCCTTTCAGTGTTCATTATTTCTAAGGCACAAGAACCAACTCACCTCTGTATTCCTTCCCTTACTAACACAGTGCTTTAGCTGGGATTCTTATTAGACTTTTTCTTCTCAGAACTGATTAATAACACAGCCTTTTTTCCTCAACGCCAGGCAGTCTTTCAATGTCTCCTTACATGAGCTGAGAAACATTGTGTCTTCAATAAAAGCTATTTTTTTGGTGTCCTATGGCTGAACCACACAATTCCTGCATTGTACCAGCTATGCTTTTTCACATAATGAAGCCAACAGCAAAGCAGTGAGGGGAAAGAGAATGTGCAGTCTTACATGTGACCCTGAGATCTGCATGACACCAGCTGCTCGAGTTTACACTCACCATAGCTGTGCATTCTGCACCAGTGCTATTCATCATTTTGTGCCATGACATAAAGATGCTCCAGAGTGAATCAGGAGATAGAGAAGGCTTTCTTACAACTTCAGTTCAGTGATGGGCAGCTTATGCCATTCAATGCTCTTCTTCAGCAACTATCTTTGCAACAAAAATCTGATTCAACATGTGATTCCACGGGTCAAAATTCAGTTTGTATTTCCTTAGCTTTGCCTCTTCACTCCCCTTGTTCTGGTTAAAACGCTGTAACACTGCTGAAATGTCTGTAAGCCATCCTAATTACTGCAGTCACTTTTGCATCCTTTTTTGGCACTATTCTTCTTGTCTCAGTCAAGCTCAGTCATTT